TGGTCGAGACACCGAATGTCGAAACCGGTCCAGAGTTTCGCTCCTATTCAACCAATCCTGCAACGCCACCAACAACAAATTGCACTCCCAGAAGGCAGTTTCCCCGGCGGGATGTGTTAAAAACCGCACCTTTATTTATTGACGTGGAGAGATAAAGATGAGAAGGAGGCGGTATGGTCTGTTTTTTTTGTGTTGTTGCAACAAAATGCGAGCCCGACATGCCGCGTCGAAAAGTCCCGGCCACCGGATTCGTCCTTCTCCCCGCACCTCCGATTAGCACGGATGGCTACGTGCGGTGCGAAAGAAGGTCAACACACACAGGGTACATAGGTCCAAAACTAAATCCGCGGACATCCATTCTGGCGCGGCGGAACCGCAAGAAAGGCACACGGCCCGTGAATGTATCGCGTTTCACGATTGATTTCAGTCACAGGGGGAATTTTTTGGCGCATTCCATGGCATTGGTCTCACATTCATCGTGAGCTGTCCATGCGTCCCAGCAGTACCGTACAACAGTGGCGCGCTCATCACGGCTGCCACGGTCGTTCGTGTGGCATGGGAGAGAGCGGGGGGGGGGGCACAGCTTCCAGAGGTTCTCACTCACGCGGTCCATTGCCGTGCAAGGCGCTGTGGTCACAATCAAAGCGGACTGCGAAGGAATCGCCGAAATTGCTGACATCAAAAGAAGGGCGCGTGTCACATTGTTACTCGATCCATGGCTCTATTGGCAATGCGATTAACCCCGGTATTTTTAATGTTTATTTATATGTTTGCGTCCGTTTTTATATTAATGCGTACGATTTTATCGTATTACAGCGCGGTTACGCAGCCACCGCACACACGTAACACCGGGTGGAAACTGCGGTGCATGTGACCCATTCCATGTCACTACACATGGTTACAACTTGTACGAAATGTAAAAAAAAATGCATAAACAACATCAAAAAGGAAAATTCCAGCGTGTGAACAAAGCAGACGGGGAATACCGCACGCCAGGCCCCACTTAGACGCGTCGGCCAAGGTCGCTTGCGCTCACTGTGCGTAACCCCAACGCACTTTAGATAAGAAATCTGCATCGGCTCGCGCCTGCTCCGCACGGGAGAGGAGATCGGTCAGTCAATACGGCAATGTCACCCCTAGTCTGTGGCATTACTCATCCAGTAACGTAAACAACAATCCAAACCATCGGGAACACGGGAGGGAGGGAGGGAGTGAGGGAGGCAGCCGTGATCAAGGTGGTTAAAGAAGGAGAATGCGGTTACAGTTGTCGGGTGGGGGAGGAGGAGGAGGTGGTGGTGGTGGAAGGAGGCTCGTGAAAGACGCCGCTGCTGAGCAGTTGGAGGCAGTCGCCCTCCAACACAAACTGAGGGCACAGGAGCGACACTCACAACAACGAGCGGAGCGAACGGGCATATAAAATTCAGCGAGTTGGCACATTAGGTGGGGTGGGGAGAGTATAGGTGGTGCATCTACAGTACCAGTCATCTCAGTCAGCCAAACCCATGACACCTGCTGGGTCTATCCCGTGACCTCCAGCGAGCCTTCGACACTTCACGTGGCCTCAACGTGCACCTGGCCTGGCACAGGCGTGGTGACGTCACCGTCACTCAGTGTCGAATGGCAGGGATATTGGTGGTGGTGAGAAGCGGTGACGGTGTACCAGTGTAGCGGTGTTGAAGCTATGGCTGGCTGTGGTGGCCTTGACGATGGTTGGTGATGTTTTTGAGGGTGGTTGCGGGGATTTGTTCCATGGCTGAGAGAGAGAGCGGCCGGCCCATTCTCACCCAAAGCGGAATCCCACACACGTCCGAGCAGTGGGATTCACTTCGACTCAAAGAGTTTTCAGGGGAGCCGCTTGGCACCTCGCACCACCCCACTCCCACCGTGGGTGGAAGTTGATGGTCGCAAAGTTGCGGAAGAGATGGACAAATATTTGTTTGTCACGGCTCGCGATCGCAAACCAATTTTTCCATCCAAGAGTACTGGCACCCTGTAACAGCGCTACCCTTGAAGCCGTATTTTAACGGAGGATATTTGTGATCTGATCTCTGAAATTGTGATTCTATTCCGACCCTGACGCCTGCTGTAATATTAGAAGTTTGTACGTCTGTCTCCCCGTGGTCGCGTGGATTTTTCTCCAAGTCCTCCTCCGGTCTTTTCCCTTCCACGTTTAGAAACGTGCGTTTCGAGTATGCGACTGCTGCTATGAGTGTCCACGCGATGAGACACTTTCGTTGAGCCATCATCTGTGGCCAGGTCGCTTCTAAAAAAAAACAGCTATGTAGCTCAGCGGGTCTTGCCTGGTAAAAACATTTTTTTTAATGTAAAAAAAAATGATGGGCTCTATATCAGGTCTGCAGATATACTGACCATGTCTGTGAGGTCTCAGGCAAACCACCTTCAGCCCAGACAACAACGTCACGTGGCAAGGTTGGAAACAGTCGCTAACCCCTGTGAGCGGTTGGCTGCTCCTGCCGCCTATTCATGATGCGCGAAGAGCGATCCGGAGCCTGAGGCCAGGTACAGCGCTGGCCAGGGCAGATCTTACAATCAATTTGCTGAGCGAGGGTGGCGATTATGCGCACAGGCTGCCTTGCGTAACATCATTTCGGCTTCCTGGACTGCAGAACGGGTTCCATCGACGATGCCGAGATTGCCCTGGTGGGGTCCCCCTTGCTCAGTCGTGGAACGGTGGCAGATGGAGAGGGTTCACCGGGATAGCGCACGGGGTTACGAGGTCCAGGAGGACGTGGAGCGGAGTCGACTTTCTCTCGACTCGTGTCAAGATGGACCCCTGGTGAGGGGCACCGTGAAGGTGATGACGTGTTGGAGATGGCCGTAGTGGCGGTAGTAGCCTCGCCTGTGTGGCTTTTGTTTTTTGTGTGCTTGTCCGTGTTGTGTTTGCCTTCGTCCGTGTTGTGCTTGCGGTGGGGCAGTTGTGGAGAGAGTGGAGAAGTTTCTGTACTTGAGCAGGGTGCTCATGACCAGCTCCGGTTTGGTCTCAAGCCGAGTGAGTCGAGCGGCATTTCTGAACATCGGCTGCATAACGCTGTGTGGCAGCTACCTGGCCTGTCGCTGCACATGGAGCTCCGGGTCTTCTAGGACACAGTCATGCCCTCCCTTCTCTATGCTTGCGAAACGTGGAGCCCTCTAAAGGAATATCTGCGCTGGTTCAAAACATTCAGGCTGGCCTACCTACGATCCATCCTGGGTTTAAGCAGACTGCACAGTGTGATGAGTTTACAGATCCATTAAAGATCTGGACACAGTCCCAACAGTGAGCTCCCCTGGCAGGCAAGGCTGCGCTGGCTGGGTCAAGTGGCCCGCATGCCCAGCCACCGCATGCCCAAACAGCTTCTGTTCGGTCGGATAGATGGGGCCAAACGGACAAGGCACGGGCTAGAGAAGAGATGGATTGATATGGTACAGTCATCCTCCAGCAACAACGGAGGGCAGAGGAGCGACGCTCACAACAATTAGCGGAGCGCCGGGTGCCTAAAACGCAGACGGATGGCACAGTGGCGAGTACAGCTAGTTCATCGGCCAGCCATCATAGCAGTCAACCCATGGCATTTGGCTCTGTTCCGTCTGGCCTTGATAGTGCACCTAGCCTGGCACAAGCGCCATGCTGACTTCACCGCCACTGAGTGGTGAAAGGCGGTTCGCGTGTTTGTGGGGAGCGGTGGTGCAGCGGTTAGAGCTACGCTGCGCTCCGAATCCAGCAACCCGAGTTCGACTCCCGCTCACGGCCAACGCCTGTGATGATTATCTAAACCCGGTCATGGGCGCCTCCCCTTAGCTCGAACTCAACCTTAAAACGAGTGTCTGGTGCGATGTATGAACATCGCTGGGAGACAAAGGTGGCCGGGCGTGGGTTTTTCCGGCCACACCACCCCCTCGTGCACCGTGTCGACCCTTCACAGGCGCACGCGCACGGGGGGGTCTTTGTTGTGATCGTGACGCACGGGGGAGCCGCGAGGATGGATGCGCGGGTATTGCCCGCTGTCCCGGGGCATCAATATCCCTGATTCGTATCCCAGGGAGCTCGGCCTCCTCGTGATGGACTGAGCCCTCGGCTCCACGACGTGACACGGCGGCTGCTGCTGCTGCTGTTTCATTATTTCTTTGTTATATCAACAGGAGGCGGCCGAGGAGGAGGTGGGGGAGGAGGCGACGACTCGCATTAGTTACGATGTTCGTTAACGACGCGTGACGACGACAACAACAACAACAACAAAACCGGGCGACGAAAATTGGTTCCAAAAACGCAGCCTCGCTGGGACACCGGGCGCGCGAAACAACCTGGGGAGCTGGTGAGGGGACGTGGAGAGCCACGCGGCCACCACGTGGCGCCCGCCCGCCCGCTCGCCCGCCCGCTCGCTCTGTGATGCCGAGCTCGAGAGCGCTCAAGCGGCAAATGGAACGGGTTCAGCCCCCGTGTTGATTCCCGTGCGATGCGTTGTCACACCAACAACAACAACACAAACAAATAAAAGCACGTCAAAGTGTCCCCTGTGCGCTGTGTGACGCGCGGGTTGCCTCATTGCTGCATTCGCTGGCAGTTTATTTTTCCAACGCTTTGCCAATGTCGACAAATCGGTATAATGTGGCTCTGGGGTTGCCACCCGGTCCCGCTTAAACCCGGGATTATTCGGACAGACCGAGGTTTGCCGGCGGTGTTCGGGTGGCAACAGGAGTTCATTTGCAACCGAGATCTCCTACCGGCATTGTTTTGGTCTGGCCATGTTTTTGTTTATTGTAGTACGGAGTTAGACTGATGACCTTAATCTTAGTTGTCTTGTTGTTGTTGTTTGACTTGCATCCCACTGGGATCTTTGCACACAGCGTTTGGTGTACGGTGCTATTTCAGGAATATTTTTGCTGGTTTTTTTTCCTGTATTTTCTGTTTGCACAGTCACACAAAGTCACTTTAAGATGTTTTTCTTGTTCATGTTTTTAGTTTGTTGCGGTTGCACCCGATTCAAGAGCCGAATGGCTCACAGGGCTATACCAAATAAATCGAACTGAACTGAACTGATAACGGACCTCGGCTGGCTGAGAGATGTTTCCGTGTTTGGGCTGCGTGAATGGGTGGGGCGGTGGAGGTCAGTGGTTCGCACGCTGCGCTATGACCCCTATCCCCCGCCACCTGAGTTCGACTCCGGGACGCGGCGAACGTCCGTGATGAGTCGAGTGGAAGCTGCCAGGCGATCTGTTGAGCGAGAATTCACGGCGAATGCCACCGTCAAGCCTGCGACGGAACATCGATGACCATCAATCATCAATCTCCCACTCTCTGCAGAGCAGCAGCAGCTGAAGCGACGGGTGACTGTCATCTGGACCAACCTGACCCCACGCTTCGCCCACGCTTCCCCCTTCACCAACCTGCATTGGCCAGCGTTGTGAAGAATGGTCAAACAGCGCCCTTGAGTGACGCGACGTGCTTGTGGTCTTCATCCGCCGGTGGGTTGACGGAGCGCTGTGTGCCGTTACCACCATCGTCGTTATCGTTACGGCTGCCTGTGACGCGTTCGTCTTTTAGCTTCGAAAACTGAGACCGGTTGCATGAGAGCGACACAGCAGCGATGTCACACGAGGGGGGGAGGGTGATATAATGGAGGCATCTTTCTGTCACCATCAAGGTCTTAATTCTCATTAAGGTCCCCTCAGATCCGTGCCGGGAGGCCCGGAACACACACCGGTTGTGTAGCGACAAGATCTGTTTCTTGGGTCACGTCCTGCCTTGATAGGCCGACGATAATACCCGGGCCTCTTGGCACGGATCGTGTATCGCCTTAATAGACCTCCTCGACTTATAAAAGGCCGCACCGCGAGTCTGTGCATCATTGGCCTTGTACAGCCTCGCCGGGTCGATCTGCCGCCCGCTGAACCCAGAGAAGGCCGTGATTGTGGTGTTCGCGAGCCAGAATTCACCCTCGCCGGGATTCCATCAAGGTCCTTCATCTCTTCTCATCTCCAACTTCACCTCTTCTCATCTACAACTTCACCTCTTCTCATCTTCAACTTCACCTCTTCTCATCTTCAACTTCACCTCTTCTCACCTACAACTTCACCTCTTCTCACCCCCAACTTCACCTCTTCTCACCCCCAACTTCACCTCTTCTCACCCCATCTTCACCTCTTCTCATCTACAACTTCACCTCTTCTCATCTTCAACTTCACCTCTTCTCACCCCCAACTTCACCTCTTCTCACCTACAACTTCACCTCTTCTCACCCCCAACTTCACCTCTTCTCACCCCATCTTCACCTCTTCTCATCTACAACTTCACCTCTTCTCATCTTCAACTTCACCTCTTCTCACCCCCAACTTCACCTCTTCTCACCTACAACTTCACCTCTTCTCACCCCCAACTTCACCTCTTCTCATCTACAACTTCACCTCTTCTCATCTACAACTTCACATCTTCTCATCTACAACTTCACCTCTTCTCATCTACAACTTAACCTCTTCTCACCCCCAACTTCACCTCTTCTCATCTACAACTTCACCTCTTCTCATCTACAACTTCACCTCTTCTCACCCCCAACTTCACCTCTTCTCATCTACAACTTCACCTCTTCTCATCTACAACTTCACCTCTTCTCATCTTCAACTTCACCTCTTCTCATCTACAACTTCACCTCTTCTCACCCCCAACTTCACCTCTTCTCATCTACAACTTCACCTCTTCTCATCTACAACTTCACCTCTTCTCACCCCCAATTTCACCTCTTCTCATCTTCAACTTCACCTCTTCTCATCTACAACTTCACCTCTTCTCATCTACAACTTCACCTCTTCTCATCTTCAACTTCACCTCTTCTCATCTACAACTTCACCTCTTCTCATCTTCAACTTCACCTCTTCTCATCTTCAACTTCACCTCTTCTCACCCCCAACTTCACCTCTTCTCACCCCCAACTTCACCTCTTCTCACCTACAACTTCACCTCTTCTCATCTCCAACGCCACATCTTTTTGGCCATCAGTGCTTCTGTTCGCGCGGCACCCACAACGCCTTTCCGCTTGAAATCAGGGGGCAATGGGAGTCGGTAGATCGATTTGTCTGCTTTGAGAACCCCATCTCTTTAAAGTGGCCTTCCCCTCTCTCGTTCGGTCGGTTGCCCCCTCCTGCACTGGGTTTTTTTTTTCTGCTTTCCATGCATTGGGCATTGGGATCCTAGGATGGAATGCGCAATAATAGACTTTAATTATTATTAATTATTAATTATTATCCCCAAACTGGAAACCTTTTTAGACTGGCGCGTACACAAACCGACGCAGGCTGCCACCTCGTGTTGACCCCTGACCCCAGTGCCTGGGATCTTTCCTCGGCCGCGACCGTTATCAAGGACACGGTGGGGGATATCAATAAATGATTAAACAAAAGCTTTGGCAAGTAAACCCCGAAGGTTTTTTTTTTCTCCTTGGTTCCACTGCACGATCTTCTTTCTTTCGTCAGCTGCGACACGGCTCGCTCGGCCCCGGCTTCGTCCAAACGTGCTGCCAGTCGTCGTTCTGCACGACGAAGGTGTCCGGGGCTGGCTGTCACCATCTCGGCACAGGTCAACTCCTGATCGCGCGTGCCAACACCTCGAACCCCGGGCAGGTGGCAACCACGAGTCCTATCCTCCACAGTACCGCAGTGTTTCACTTCCCCCTGCCTCAGCGCCACGTCGTTGTCAGTCGGTCTGCCTAGACTGCTGCTACACCACAGCTCGTCGGCCTTCACATTATTATTATTATTATTTACTCGTTGCCTTCCTCTACACTCGCCACGCAAGTCCCTTCGGGTGATGTATTTCACGTGTGGTTTGCGTGTTTAACGAACACCCGTGGCAGACACACACAGAGGGAAAGAGAGAGTGTCGTAGCCTATAAACAACTTGGTCTCGCCAGTCCGGGCATGCCTGACTGCTGATGAGACACCGAATGTCGAAATGGGACCCAACGTTTGTGTTGCGTTTGAACAGTGCCGCTAAAATTGTGCAATTCTAAAAAAGAAGGGGGGCCGTGCGGCTGACGGGCAGTGTGTAACATGCATTATGATGATGATTATTACTAAAAATGTGGGGAGAGACAGATGTGGCGAGGAGGCGTATTGTCTGCTTATGTATTTGGCCTTCACCTCCGGCAAACATGCCAACGTTGGACCAACTTTGGCATGTAGATGGAATAAATCCTTCATATATGTTCTATATTTAGTGGGCAGGAACCGACATGGCAAGGAGGCGTATGGGCCACTTATTTATTTGGCATTCACCCTCGTAAACAGTCTAACGTTGGTTCAACGTTGCTCCAACGTTGGTCCAACGTTGGAGCAACGTTTGACCGATGTTCGACCAAACATTCGTCCCTCATTTCCTAGATCTGAGTGTTGAGCTGGAGAGTCTGGGTGCTGGGCTGGAGAGTCTGGGTGTTGAACTGGAGAGTCTGGGTGTTGAACTGGAGAGTCTGGGTGTTGAACTGGAGAGTCTGGGTGTTGAACTGGAGAGTCTGGGTGTTGAACTGGAGAGTCTGGGTGTTGGGATGGAGAGTCTGGGTGTTGAACTGGAGAGTCTGGGTGTTGAACTGGAGAGTCTGGGTGTTGAACTGGAGAGTCTGGGTGTTGAACTGGAGAGTCTGGGTGTTGAACTGGAGAGTCTGGGTGTTGAACTGGAGAGTATGGGTGTTGAACTGGAGAGTCTGGGTGTTGAACTGGAGAGTCTGGGTGTTGAACTGGAGAGTCTGGGTGTTGAACTGGAGAGTCTGGGTGTTAGGCTGGAGAGTCTGGGTGTTGGGCTGGAGAGTCTGGGTGTTGAACTGGAGAGTTTGGGTGTTGAACTGGAGAGTCTGGGTGCTGAACTGGAGAGTCTGGGTGTTGAACTGGAGAGTCTGGGTGCTGGGTTGGAGAGTCTGGGTGTTGAACTGGAGAGTCTGGGTGCTGGGTTGGAGAGTCTGGGTGTTGAACTGGAGAGTCTGGGTGTTGAGCTGGAGAGTCTGGGTGCTGAACTGGAGAGTCTGGGTGTGGAACTGGAGAGTCTGGGTGTTGAACTGGAGAGTCTAGGTGTTGAACTGGAGAGTCTGGGTGTTGAACTGGAGAGTCTGGGTGTTGAACTGGAGAGTCTGGGTGTTGGGCTGGAGAGTCTGGGTGTTGAACTGGAGAGTCTAGGTGCTGAACTGGAGAGTCTGGGTGCTGAACTGGAGAGTCTAGGTGTTGAACTGGAGAGTCTGGGTGTTGAACTGGAAAGTCTGGGTGCTGAACTGGAGAGTCTAGGTGCTGAACTGGAGAGTCTGGGTGCTGAACTGGAGAGTCTAGGTGTTGAACTGGAGAGTCTGGGTGTTGGGCTGGAGAGTCTGGGTGTTGAACTGGAGAGTCTGGGTGTTGGGATGGAGAGTCTGGGTGTTGAACTGGAGAGTCTGGGTGTTGGGATGGAGAGTCTGGGTGTTGAACTGGAGAGTCTGGGTGCTGAACTGGAGAGTCTGGGTGCTGAACTGGAGAGTCTGGGTGTTGAACTGGAGAGTCTGGGTGTTGAACTGGAGAGTCTGGGTGTTGAACTGGAGAGTCTGGGTGTTGGGCTGGAGAGTCTGGGTGCTGAACTGGAGAGTCTGGGTGTTGAACTGGAGAGTCTGGGTGCTGAACTGGAGAGTCTGGGTGCTGAACTGGAGAGTCTGGGTGCTGAACTGGAGAGTCTGGGTGTTGAACTGGAGAGTCTAGGTGTTGAACTGGAGAGTCTGGGTGCTGAACTGGAGAGTCTGGGTGTTGAACTGGAGAGTCTGGGTGTTGAACTGGAGAGTCTGGGTGCTGAACTGGAGAGTCTGGGTGTTGAACTGGAGAGTCTGGGTGCTGGGCTAGAAAGTCTGGGTGTTGAACTGGAGAGTCTGGGTGCTGGGCTGGAGAGTCTAGGTGCTGAACTGGAGAGTCTAGGTGTTGAACTGGAGAGTCTGGGTGCTGAACTGGAGAGTCTAGGTGCTGAACTGGAGAGTCTGGGTGCTGAACTGGAGAGTCTAGGTATTGAACTGGAGAGTCTGGGTGTTGGGCTGGAGAGTCTGGGTGTTGAACTGGAGAGTCTGGGTGTTGGGATGGAGAGTCTGGGTGTTGAACTGGAGAGTCTGGGTGTTGGGATGGAGAGTCTGGGTGTTGAACTGGAGAGTCTGGGTGCTGAACTGGAGAGTCTGGGTGCTGAACTGGAGAGTCTGGGTGTTGAACTGGAGAGTCTGGGTGTTGAACTGGAGAGTCTGGGTGTTGAACTGGAGAGTCTGGGTGTTGGGCTGGAGAGTCTGGGTGCTGAACTGGAGAGTCTGGGTGTTGAACTGGAGAGTCTGGGTGTTGAACTGGAGAGTCTAGGTGTTGAACTGGAGAGTCTGGGTGCTGAACTGGAGAGTCTGGGTGTTGAACTGGAGAGTCTGGGTGTTGAACTGGAGAGTCTGGGTGTTGGGCTGGAGAGTCTGGGTGCTGAACTGGAGAGTCTGGGTGTTGAACTGGAGAGTCTGGGTGTTGAACTGGAGAGTCTAGGTGTTGAACTGGAGAGTCTGGGTGCTGAACTGGAGAGTCTGGGTGTTGAACTGGAGAGTCTGGGTGTTGAACTGGAGAGTCTGGGTGCTGAACTGGAGAGTCTGGGTGTTGAACTGGAGAGTCTGGGTGCTGGGCTAGAAAGTCTGGGTGTTGAACTGGAGAGTCTGGGTGTTGGGATGGAGAGTCTGGGTGTTGAACTGGAGAGTCTGGGTGTTGGGATGGAGAGTCTGGGTGTTGAACTGGAGAGTCTGGGTGCTGAACTGGAGAGTCTGGGTGCTGAACTGGAGAGTCTGGGTGTTGAACTGGAGAGTCTGGGTGTTGAACTGGAGAGTCTGGGTGTTGAACTGGAGAGTCTGGGTGTTGGGCTGGAGAGTCTGGGTGCTGAACTGGAGAGTCTGGGTGTTGAACTGGAGAGTCTGGGTGTTGAACTGGAGAGTCTGGGTGCTGAACTGGAGAGTCTGGGTGCTGAACTGGAGAGTCTGGGTGTTGAACTGGAGAGTCTAGGTGTTGAACTGGAGAGTCTGGGTGCTGAACTGGAGAGTCTGGGTGTTGAACTGGAGAGTCTGGGTGTTGAACTGGAGAGTCTGGGTGCTGAACTGGAGAGTCTGGGTGCTGGGCTAGAAAGTCTGGGTGTTGAACTGGAGAGTCTGGGTGCTGGGCTGGAGAGTCTAGGTGCTGGGCTGCATGCCACCCCGGTCTCCAACCATTCATGCAGCTCATTATATTCCCGCTCTTCCAAAAATGTCGGCTCACAGTTTCTCGCCTTTTATCGTCGTCGCCTCAAAGGAAACCTCATTTCGTGCGGACATCTGTTGGTCTTCCCGTGTACTCCGCAAAGGTTGGAGATTGGGGGCGATGCGCGTGGCGCCTGTAAACTTCGCGGGCGGCGGCGAAGGTACCACCGCGAATACCGCGGGGGGAGGACATCCAAACCCAGTGTCAGGGGCGCGGCATGAGCGTGAGAGCGATGGAATGAAATGTGCGAGTGTTCGACCCGACGGAGCCACAGAGAAGCGCCATCAAACGTTCCAGAGGTGGCCCTCAAAAGGAGGAATTGGAGGTGCGTTTTTGGTGACGTTACAAACAGCGAGCTTGAATGCACGGAATTGAAGGAGCCTCGCTCCGTGTGGGACCCAGTCGGTAAAAAGGGGCAGAGAGAGGCGCGATGGAAATGACCGGAAGAGTCATCAACTCTGCACAGATTCTGTCCCCTTCAATTATTTATTCGGCGGGATTTCACGAGTCATGCGCATTGATATGGGTTCCTATTGCCGCCGAAACTAAATTGGCTTAAATGCATGACTGAACATTTGACATCGCTATTCTCAGGTGCATATTTAAAATTAAAAAAGAATATAATTGGAATCGCTTCGTCTTGTCGGCGTGACAGTGGTGGCGTACGCCTGTGGACTCGGAAAGCGACGCACCCACACGTTTCGTTTTGAGCCGTGTCAGGACGTACCAGGGGTCCCGTCGTAGAATCGTAAAAATAAAATGTCCACAAGTCGAGTAAAGATGCGGGGGTTCGCTCAGTCCGCTTGGCTGCCATTGCGGCGCGGAGCGATGCTCTCGATTTAAAGAGGCGAGGTCCCAACGTTCCCCTTTAAACGCCCCACCCGTTTCATCTATTTGCGCAAGTGTTTGTTTTAGCTTGATAAACAAATTAAAAACGTAAAACGTGCGACAGCGATCTAACTTTTGTTTGTGGGTGTGTGTCAATTAGACCGGGGTAGTGATGAAGAAGGATAAAGAGAGTTAATAGTTTCGATTTAAAGCTTTCGTGACTGCAACGATTCATCTTCTTTGGTTCTTTCGGTAAAGTCACGTAGACTGAGAATAAAATAATAAAATGAAATAAGACAATAAAATTATCCCGACGTTTCGGCTACAACACAAGTAGCCTTCTTCAGGTGAACAGAACTGTCGGGACGACAGAGCTTCAATGAACGCTGCTAAGATTCGTAGCGTCTTTTAAGCTGGGTGAGAGAAGTGAGGCATCTTGACAAAGGAGTTTACATATCAAACAGTATAATTTAGCATTGAAATAGCTGAGGGATTAGCTTGTGACTAGTCACAGAGATAGCTATGTTAAAGTCAAAGTTTACACATCAACAGAGGCACCCAGTACATGGACGCCAAAGGGCTGCAACTACCCAACTATCATACAGTAAACCGATGCGAAAAAAACTAAGTCTAAATTACATCAATATAATAAATGTACTTAATAAATTCTCCTGTTTGATAGGTAAACTCCATGGTCAAGGTGCCTCACTTCTCTCACCCAGCTTAAAAACGCTACGAATCCTAGCAGCGTTCATTGAAGCTCTGTCGTCCCGACAGTTCTGTTCACCTGAAGAAGGCTACTTGTGTTGTGGCCGAAACGTCGTTAGAATTTTATTGTCTTTATTTTATTCTCATTCTACGTGATTTTACCGAAAGAACCAAAGAAGAGTTAATAGTTTTTTTTTAATTGCAGCAACAATTGAGAAAAAATGTGACATTTCATTTGGGAATCTGAGCAGAGTTGTCCACTCAGTGGATCGGTGTTGTGCTGTCAGGGCAGACTCGATGCCCGGCACGAGACGACCGTGGTGATGCAGGCGGATCAGAAGTTGTGGTTTACATTCATACCACCGCTTGCTCCGCCCTATCCCCTTCATTAACCCCACCCACTTCGGCCCATTCCACGGTTGTGGAACGAGTGACGGTTGTGGAATGGTTGTGGTTTTATGCAGAATCTTGCCCTACATGAATTGTAAGACAAAAACTGCCGTCATCACGCCGAGAGAGTGATGGACTGACGGCCAAAGATCTCTACGTGAATCGGACCCATCGATTTACATCGGCTCTTGAGACAAACGTGGATGTCGAGGCATGCGTAGCTCGAGAGACGCAAACAAATAGACTTGTATAGCATCTAGGCCTTGTAACGATCCCCCACCTTCACGGTCAAATTAATTGCCACGATTCAGGGTCACGGTCCCATTGGATAATTTAATAAATAACAGTTTCAACATGCGAGGTCGCAGCACGGCTGTTTTCTCCTCGCTGCCCACGAGGGAGGGCGACTCAACAGCAACCTCAGTCGCGGGCAGCAGCAGCCACACCCCCCACCCCCAAGCTCTGCAATCCTCTACATATGAAGGTGCTATCAGCCAATGAATGAGTGTTTACACGTGGGAGGAAAGCGGAGCACATGGGTGGGGGGGGGGAGTGCCCTCTATCTGCAGGAGTCCACATTTTCTGCGCTGACTTCTCCTGGCTAGTCAGGAGAAGGGCACCTCGGCGCACACGGGGAGTTTCGCAGCGTCCGCGTGTGATCCACCAACCCTAGCCACTGTCTCCACACGGGGCTGGGCTACAGGCAGCCCACGTGCAGCGTAGCCACCACTGCCTGGCTAAAAAAGCAATCAAACATGTTTAGCTCCAATGGCGCATTTGGAATCTATCGTGGCTTTAGGTTTCATACGTCATAAATGTCACTATATATACAGCATGCTAATCTAAGAGTATGAATCTTCTATGCACAATTTGAAACGATATGCAGTGTATTTTTTACATGCCTAGTAGGATCAAATTTTTTAAAATCACTGAAATCTCCTCCCATCCGCCTCTTTAAATCATCATTTTAATCCCGGTCTCTGCCTTCAACAACTGCCAGAGTTATGCATATTTCTCTATATGCGCCTCTCAAACAAATATCTTTAAATCATTCGGTGAGCTTAGCAACAGGCCATCCCACCATCAATTTCACCAACGTATGCGCACGGGATGTGTATATATATATGCTTCTGCCTTTGTTTTTGACCAGTTTCAGGGATGTTGTCTCCACCGTTGTTGGACTCTGCTTACCCTGGTTTTCCTTGTAGTCGAGACGTTCCGTCTCCACTGGCTCCCCACTCACCCACTCGGCTTTAAATGATTTTTTTTAACTAAGTAGCCACTCGAACTTTTTATTTCTGCACGCCGATGGCGAACGTGGCCGTGGAAATGTTTTTTCTTTGACCCGGCGTGGGGCAAGGAAGTCACTGGGCGGTGCACGAACACGTCTCGCAGGAAGACCCTGCCCTCGCAGATGGACCCCACGTAGTTGCTGCCCCTGGAGAACAACGCGCCGGGCCGCCAACGCGTTCACTCCGCGGTTTCAGATTGCCCAGAGTTCACGCCCGCAACTCGAGGGGGGTGTGTTCGAGCGGTGGTCCAGCGGTGAGGGCACTGGACTACAAACCCCGGTGGCCTGAGTGTGATTCCCAGCTGCGGCTAACGTCAGTGGCAAATTATATCCGCGCCGGTCCTGGGTTCCATCCCATCCCCACGCCAACCTTCAACAAACTGTGGCGACGCAAACTTTAAAATCCACATTTTTGGCAACCATGTTGGAGTAATATTTGACCTCTGTCATGGGAATGTAGAGTTTACAAATCTGCCCGAGGGCCATAAAAGGATAGGAGAGGCTCACTGTGATCAGAAACGTATCGTCGATTGTCTAATACTCGTCACAGGCGGTCGGGAGTGATGTATATTATAGTGATAATAATAGACAGTTTGCATCATTTATTGTTGGGTCAACATCCATAGCTGGAGACGTCTGAAAAACATTTGTGGATCCAGCCCACCCCGCCCGATCATAATTGGGAGGTAATATTTTCAACTTTTCAGCTTTTCAAGCGAGCCCTTCAAGTTGTAAACGATGAAAATTAGAACTCGGTAGGTTATCTATGAATGGATCACCGTGTATATGCCCAACAACAACAACGTTTAACTATCCACATAGCGGAAGAACAGCTCTGAATCGCTATCCTCGGGGCAAGGCGCATTCCGTGTTGGATCAATTTGCTGCGAGGTTGCTCGCCAAACGTTTGCGAAGAACGGCGCCAAGTTTATAATAAATAAATAAAAACCTCGCGTTGTAAATTGTACGAAGGCACCAAAGACAAAGATTCTCCCACCCCGACCCCGTGTAGCCTTAACAGACTGTTGGGGCAAGTGCTGTTATCGAGCGGCACCGATGGAGGGCCGACACGGCACACGAGGGGGTGGGTGGCCAGACGCAGGTTGTCGCTGAGAAGGCGCGGGGTAAATGGGTGACGACACAATGGTCTGTCAGCCATCTTGAGAGGCCTTGCACGCAGTTGCCTACAGACGCACCTCAAGAACCACCCACCCACTCGCCAAACTACCCACCCGTACTCACAGAATCCACTTACCTCTACCCACTCACCTACCCACTCACCTACCCACTTACAGAACCCACTCACCTACCCACTTACAGAACCCACTTACTCACCTCTACCCACTTACCCATCTACAGAACCCACCTTCTCGCCTCTACTCACTCACCCCATTACAGAATCATCCTACCCACTTAACCATCTTACCCACCAACCTAACCTACCACCTACCCGCCTCTACTCACCTCCACTCACCTCTACTCACCTCTACTACAACGACAAAGAGCCCCCGTATAGCCTGAACAGACTGTTGGGACAAGTGCTGTTAGCACCTAAGAATGCCGGCACGGCACACGAGGGGGTGCGTGGACCGCATTTGTCTCCCCAGTGGCGATGTTTACACACCGCACCAGGTACTCATTTGAGGCTGAGCCGACCTAGAGGGGGGCCCAGGACCGGTTCAGATAATCGTCACTGGTGTTGGCCGTCAGCGGGAGTCGAACTCTGGTCGCTTGGTTCGTAGTGCAACGCGCTAACCACGACGCTACCGCTCCCCATACCACGGCACGGTACACACACACACGAGCGGTATGGGGTCTACAGTCGATACGGAATCAGACAGTCTACCCCCCCACCCCCCACTATGAAATGTTACATTCTGAAAATGTGCTCTCCTCTGCTTTGCTACTAATCATAATGTACCGCGAGATTTCCCACAGTGACAGATTGCTTAATATTTAAACCGGTCAATAAATTGGTCAAACGTATATATACACGCGCGTGTGTGTAGCCATTACAAGGGAAACCAGATCGCACTGTGGTTGAATTAACAGCCGTGAACCCGAATTCATTCTCCACCCGCAGGAACAAACTGGGATTGGGGGGAAACCCCCCCCACGTGCACTGCCATGGCCTAGCCAGTGACGGGCACTCGCACCCCCGAATGAATTTCGCGCCTCCGATATTAGCATCAAATATCGGCGAAAAGAAAATCCTGCTAAACATGACAAGCGAATTAACATCGGGCCAATTAATATCTCGCCCCGATCGGCTGCATCTCTCATCTTGCTGAATCTCTACCCTGGGTCTTATATTCATCTCAATTCGCTACATCCCTCTCTCTCGTCTAGATATCTTCTCTCATCTCACTCGGAGCCGACGAATTTGGAAAAGAGGGGGCCCCAAATTAATTAATGTGCACGGGCCCCGCCAACACTGGCTAGGGTTGCCACCTGTCCCGGTTTTCCCAGGAACGTTCACTTGTTGATGTAACCGTCCTGAGAAAATGTATTCGTCTTCCCGGGACGTTGAAATTACCGGTTGTTGCCAGTTGCGGAATAATATACCACGTACTCCTGCCCTCTTCCGGTACTGCGAGATATGGTATTCTCCTTGTGACACGTCCCCGATGATGATGGTGTTGTTGTTGTTGTTGTACTTCAGAGGTGGCAACCCTAACCCTGGGCTCTTGGCCAATATTTTTACCCCAAGCCGCCCGACTGCGGGGCGCGCGGTGCTGCCCGCGGAGCTCGAGGAAGGTAGGGAGGGGAGGGAGAGAGGGAGGGAGGTAGGGAGGGGATAGGGAGGTAGGGAGGGGAGGGAGAGAG